CTAAAACTAAAGAATAAATATTGAAAAAAGAATAATGTCTAATATAAAGAAATAATAATGGAATTCTATGCAACTCTTCCTAAATGTATAGGATCTCTTAATAAATGTATAATGTACAATGATCTTTTACTAAAAAATTATGACTCAGAAATATACATCAAATGAAGTGAAATTGTGGATAATCATAATAAAGCTACACTTTCTCATCCTGACAATTTATTGGTTGGAATGAACATTTTGGAATGTTGAGCATGTTGTACAGATTTTATGCTCCCATGTAAGAAGTCATGGTAAATCGAGACTTTCTGCCATAGTATATGAATGTAGATAAAGCATACTTTAAAAAAAACTGAAATTTTTTCCTCTTTCTGTTGACTTCTGCAAGTTAAATTGTGACATTTTATTTTAAATTTGTTTCAGAATCGAAGCAAACGCTTGGAGAAGGTTCATGTGGTCATTGGCCCCAAATCATGTGACCTGGATTCTCTCATTTCTGCCTTTACCTATGCTTACTTTCTAGACAAGGTGAGAGGAAGGAGAATTATGTCATTTATACTTGAATTATTATGTACCTTTAAAGAACATGCATTTTCTAGGAAAAAAAAGGGAAGCTATTAACTTAATTTTCTATGTTCTGGCTTATTTTTGCAGAAAGTGCGGTATTATAATCCACAAATCAACAACCATTGAAGCAGCACCATCTATATGTTAACTAACTATTTTTTAAAGTATTCCTTACTACTATCTTCATAAAACCTTGCTTCAGGTTTCAAATAAAACCTGCTTTCAAATAAAAAATTAAAAATGTTTATAATAATCTATAACTTTTATAGGAATTCAAAACTAACAATATAAGGGCCAGATTTTTTTTTATTTTCTTTTATCATCCTGTCGGATAGTCTTACCCTTGGAGGTAGAAAAATATGTATGAAATAACTTTCATGAAGATTACATGAAGTGCAGAGAATACTGGCTGGCATTTCTAGAGGCAAAAGGATTCCATGTCAAATGTACATTTGATAAGTCCTTGTTCAGTTTTGCCTTTTAGACCTGATTTTGTACACCATGGTCATCCTCAGTAAAGATGATCTCTCTTGAAGGGACATCTTTTTCCTCTATAAAACACAAACACACCTGGTAAAGTGGAAAAGACCTTTCAGTAAATTGTTTAAAATTTTTCTTTCCATAAAATTCATCAGCTCCTAATACTCTTTATTGCCTTAAAGCCTGTTTGGATGTTTGGATGCTATTTCCAAAAATCTCACACAATTTTTAATTTTCCAGAGTCTGGTTTGTTTTATTCCAATTTTGTTTGGATCCTTGGCCCCTGACAGTATGCATAGCTGATCTAGAGTGATTTAAATTCACATGAAACCCAGTCTTCCAGAATGAGCTGTGGGTGGCAAGAACTGCTTTAGGGCAGCAGCTGATGAAAATGATGGGTAAAATATTCTGATCTCTACATGTGGGCTCTCTATCAAATTTGTCTTAAAATTTGTTGAACTTTACAGCAGAGATTAATTGGTATGAGGAGATAAATGTGCCTGTGTAAGACATGCATTTTAAACACTAACTTTATTAACTGGGTTTTTTGATTTCTAAAAAAACCTGTCACTTGTTTAGAGAACATACAGTTGACTGAACTGGATTGATGTTTAGACTTCTAATGGCACGGATTTTTAAGAAAATTATATAATAATAACACCACTACTAATAGCTACAATGTTTTGAATGAACATAATGATATCCAGCGAAAGAGGTGGGAAGAATAATTGTGAGAGATAAAATAGATATATAAAGAGACTCACGATTGTGCTCTTCTTTGAAGCCTTGCCACCATAGGATCAAATGTGGAATCACCTAAGAGACAGATACTGGGAATTCTATTGTGTTTCTCTGCATTGTCTTAGTTTACTGGGCCCAGGCCCTAATAGTGGTCTATACCTCTATTAAAATTTTCCTGAGATCCTGATACTCCCTCTCAGAGTGTTAACATTTGGCATAAATGTAGGGCTTTGTCGCTTCCTGTGTATTATCCCATTTATATCTTTCTCACTCTGGTAAGTGAGCCCCATTCTACAGATAGGGAAAATAGAGGCTCTGAGAGGACAAAGGCTTTCTCCAATTCACACAGCAGAGGCTGGGGCGTGAACCTAGTTCTTCTGACTCCAACTTCAGAATAGGTACTTCCAGGATAGGCTCAGGCTACATGCTCTTGACTCATGTATTGGTTCCTTTCTCTATTTCATTATTAGGAGTTAGAGATAACTCTCAATGAATTAGAAAAACTAATTTGCCATCCATGTATTGCTAATGATTATTATCTTACTTGCAACAGGTAAGAAAACCCCACTTTTTTGGAGCAGGTTTGTGCTTTGTGTACTATAGCAGTGGTTGGCTCCTTTGTTTCATTCAATGAATGTTTATTAGATGTTTACTAGAGCCAGACTGTTTTATGTACTGGAAAGCATAATGGGACAAAGCAGTCCAAAAGTTCTGCCTTCGTAATGCTAGAAAGGGGAGACAGATGACAAGCTTGTGACAGAGCTGGTGAGATATAAGAATAAAGACTGCAGAAATCTGATGTTACCAAGCCCTAC